TAAACAAGACACACCTACTGTATTTGGATTGCACCAAGAGAAATCACTGGAAAAACACCAAGATTAGAACATCCATTAACACACAGAATAAACCCACAGGTACACAGCCGCTAAGTAGTAAACAAAAGACCACATGTTGGTCTCACCTCTGACCCAGGTGATTACGCCCTCAAACAGGGAGCACCTGAGAAAAATAATATTTAAAAAATTTCATTGGTTCTTGCTGGGCATTTAAATTGAGGGCTACGAGCAGCCATTGGTTAATTAGTGGCATGAGACCTTCAAGGCAGCACGCTTAACCCTTTCGTTCACAGGTTGGGAGATAAACTATAGTTCCATGGAATGACTGACAATTTCACGCCACTGTTTTACATTATTGGCGGATTTTTCTGCGCTATCAATCTTTCTCTTACAAACTAGACATAGATGAGACGACAGAGTCGCTCCTTTCACAACGTCGCACTGGATCAAATTGGAAAGACGATTTCCATAAGTTATCCCTCCTGCTTTTCCTGGCTTGAATAAATTCACACACGACTTTAACTGTCCACAAACTCGAAGACTACACGAACACAGTCTACAATAGTCGTTCGCAACAATATGTATGTATTTCTTCGGTGTACTGATGCACGAATGCACCTAGCTGCGGTTCCGTAGCTCTTTGGTGCGACCTACAATTGAATTTCGCCCTAACAATTTCATTTGGACGTCTTTTTTTTAATTTTGTTGTTGTACGTCGAACATACGGCCCTATGGGCCGGCCAAAGTCAGTCACGTAAATAATGCGGTCGGCAACAAAGGGCTATGATTCCACAGCTAGAATGCACCGTGACACGGTGTTTCTCGGGTGTCGCCATCGCTGAGAATGTCGCCGGCGCAATTTTTCACCCAACTCGCGATTCTGTTTTGCAACATTTTATCAATATTCCCTTTGACAAAATCGCCGACAAAAGCACCGCTTTGCTGATCTTTTGTTCTATAATTCTTAATGCAAACACCGACCCTAGTAGTAATTAGTAACGTCGCCTAGTACATATGAACGGTCGTCATTGCAAATCGAACATCCTTTTGAAATTTGGACATCGGGCAGGCGATTTCAAGGCACCGCACTTAAATATTAGCAACATATTTTTCTGAGCGGTTGTTTATTCTCTTTCAAACGAGACATAAATGTGACGACATAGTCAATCCCTTATCCACCGCTAAGAATGCCGCAATGTTTCGTTCGTTTTGCAACATGCCACAAATCGTCGAAAAAAACACCACTTCGACGGAAGCTTGCGTAATAAGGGGGTTAAAACAAGAAAACAAATGCCATGTTTAATACATATCGACCTGTTTTACTTGCGAAAGATAACGGAACATGAACTCGTTTCGTGCGACTTCGGAACCCGAAGGAACACACCAACAACGTTGAATTTACCCGCTATCTTCCAAATATGGTATATTAATTTATTCAGTTGTTTATTTAGAGTGACGTCCGCGGTCGAATGCGATTGGCTATCGATGTCAGTGCAAAGGTCATATGAATATTAAAATTAAGTGGGCGGAAGGAAAATTGTATAGGAGACAAGCTGGAGTCTCGTGTGGCGATAGCGATAACACCGGGACGAATGGTCTGGGGTAGCCAACTTGGAAAACCTGGGAAATTTATAAATAATTATATAATGATAAGAAGAATACCTTTGTTGCGCTGAGAGTATCTACAATGAACATCCAGCTTTCTGTCGCTCAGAGCACACATTGGAATACCAGCCTGCTATTCTTATTTTTATAAATCGCGCCCTCTCATGGTGAAACGATTCCACGACGTCGCAATGGCGTAAATAAAAAAGGCAATGTGATTTAAACTCGGCAACTGTGTTTGATTGTGTAGTTGTTAGTCATCTAGAATATAGTGAAATTTACCTCAAAACATAATATTCATTATTGAACGACTACAATATATCGACGATTTGAACATTTACGTCATAGAAGCTCTTCGTCACTAGAGGGCGCGCCATATAGGAGAGGTTTGTAGGTTTTCCAATATATATGTCTAATGTTTAGATAATGAATATGAGAAAACCCAATTTTTATTATTTGATCCTGCATTGTTTTTATCTCCTGAGTCACCACGTCTAATTAGTAATTAGCACTTTGATTTTATATATATATATATATATATATATATAGATATTGTGCATGATTAATAATAAAAACTTATAAAGTTGTGTAAACAAGACGATGTCCGCCCCATAAACTGGCGAGTCGAAATTATCACGACACTTTATCTCGTGACCTATCAGTCACTTTAGCGTAAAAGCTACACATATCGTAAACGGTACTCGTGTATCGACCATCTGTGATGGCTGTCGCAACACACTGACAGATTCACTGAGCACGAAACGAAGTGAACACCCGTGTTCTGCTCCCGGGTCGACAGTGATATTTAACGTACACACCAGGCGTACACACGTACACGCGCTACAGCACAACTCAGGTGTGTCTAGTCGGTTTCTTTGAAAATGGAAGACGCGTCAACTAAAGCGAGAATCGAATCCACGACCGACGAGGTGTTCGCTTTATATCGTAAACATGGCGATGTGGACTATATCGGTGAACCAGTGACGCAAAGTGAACATGCCGTTGCAATGTGCTATGCTGGCCAACAAAGATGGATATCCCGAGGAGGTAAGGAGACAACCATATGAAATTATGGGGGTGGCTGCATGAATGTGAGCAACGAACGAAATTTTTCCCGGTATCTTATCTATGCATTTTTATTTTTCTTAAATGTGCCGACATTTCTTCCCTTGCTATTTAGAATCGAAATCAGAGCGCGACAGAACTGCAGATATCAACACATTATCTGAAATCTGCAATTTAATGTTTTTAGGGGCATTTAGTGGGCATAGCACTAAACTGTATGTCCTGTGACAGTCACGTCACGAAGACACTGAGGTCACTGAGAGGTCACGATGACTTGAACTGGGGGAATTGATTTTCGCAATCATGCTGTAGTAATACTTTTTATTCTTGACTTGTGAGACAAGCACTAGAACAATATTAAAAATTATTTTTATATTTTATTTAAATTAATATTTTATGGTCAGATACAGGCCAGATAAAAACTAAATCTTGTGTAGTAAAAACACACATAAAAGATAGATTTGAGCATGTTTACATTTGGTTTTATATGTCTGTCCCATATTGATTTATATCGCACAATTGTAGACAGGGGGATTAGATTAACCTTTTCACCACCAGACTTTCTCAAAAAAAAAATGTTTGTACTTTTTTTTTTTTTTATATTCTTCAATATTTCTGGATCTTTATAATTTTAGAGCCAACAGAATTTCAGATTTTACTCAAAAAATTTGATGGTTTTTGTTTTCAGACTATAAACAGGGCTATTTTGTGATGAAAAGAGGGAACTGGTGGTGGTGAAAAGTTTGAGTGAGAGGGTCGTCACCTAAGTCCCAAGCGATGATAACAACACACACTTTTAATAACGCAACGGCTCATGAGTAGGCGCTTGTTTGTAGACAATGACACACTATGGCCACAGTCAGCTGGCGTACACGTGATAATAAAATAAATACAATATTTATTTTTATTTATTTACTTTCCTGGGGTATTTGAAACCAAAAATTTTCATTCCAGCTCAGCAGCCAATCAGCGACAGCCTAACAGTCAGATGACAATTTCGGTTTTAAATACCCCAGGAAAGTGTTCTATGTTCTTCGTGTAATTAGGTTTTCGTATGCAAGGGATTTTTTCCTCACAAAAACGCCGAATTTGGTCGAATTTTTTTATCAGTTGGCTTAATATAATCCCAACGGATCGTATTTTTGTGAAAGATTGGTATCTTTGTCCATATTTGTAGGAATCTGAAAACGCGTTTCACAACTTGTCCCTTATTTAGTTTATGCTGCATTCAATATGGCGGCCCCCATATAGTAAATATCGTATTTATTTTATTATCATGTTTGCGCCAACTGACTGTGACTATGGCCATCTGACACATGCGCAGGTGACGACTCTCCCGTTTTAATATTATTTATAAAAGAATCTTCAACTATGGCGTCATGTAATGTATAATAATTTAGAAAATCTATATTGTGATAAATTTCTTTCCTATTTTATCAAGGTTGAATGTCACAAATAACTTTTAACGTTTAAGGTTGTTTAAATAAGGGGTAATGATCTATCTCAAATTTTTTAGTCAACACAAAATAATTTTAGAGAAAATATTTTTTTCAGATTTTTAACGTCGTAGAAAAGAAAAATATTTCTGGTCAACTCCAAAATGAGTGTGAATGCGTAATTTTTTTAATTTTTTAATTTTTTTATATAAGTGTTTTTATTTATTTTTTCTAAATTTCTGACAAAAACCTTAAAAAAGCCAGGATGCACATCATAACTGATGAACATGATGACCAGAAACATAAATATTTCTTGTGTGGCCTTAATACTACCGGTGCATATTAGTTTTGTCAAGTGGATAATGTTTTCACAGACAAAGTACCAATTATGCTTCTACTATTTTTAGCAACATTTCTAATGTTTGCTGGTAAAAACCGCAACATCATAGCCTCAAATCATATGCATATGGAGAATATATTTTCAAATTAGATTTGTCAGAAGTAAACCTTAAAAATAAAAAATAAATTAATCTTTCAAATAAAATAATACCAGATCTAATTTATGATTTTGATTCATATAATCCAAGTTTTACCCGGTTGATCACTGTAAGGTGAAAATAATAGTACATGTATTGTTTTTACATGTTCCGCAGGTAATTTTGGGCGCACTATTTCACGATATTGGCCATGTGCTTGGAATAGACAGAGGAATGCAGAGAATGATTACGGGTGATGTTCAACTTGGAACAGCTGATCACGACATCGTAGGTGAAGATTACCTAAAAAACCTTGGTTTTCCATCAAGTGTAACAGATATTGTGAGAGGGCATGTTAGTGCTAAGAGGTACCTTGTCGCTACAGACAAGAAGTATAATGATAGTAAGTTCAATTCTCATTTTTTGTATAATCACTTCAGAATGGTATTCTCAGTGTATTTTGACATACAAGAGAAATGATTAAAGTCAAAGAAGCAATATGGATCTTGATGAAAACGTGATTTATCAAAAAATTCAGCACAAAAACATGCCAGTATTTGTTTTTCATCATTGCATTGAATAAATATTGTTTGTTGCCAAAACTATATAAAATGTGTTTTTTATCAAGATGCAATCACACAGTTAGAGGCATCACCTACCTGTTAGCCACATCATCCACCTATTGTCTGCATCGCCCTACAGTTAATTGCATCACCCAGTAGTTAGCTGCATCACCCAGTATTTAACTGCATCACCCTCCAATTATCTACATCACCCAGTAGTAGTCGCATCACCCACCAATTATCTACATCACCCAGTAGTAGTTGCATCACCCACCAATTATCTACATCACCCAGTAGTAGTTGCATCACCCGCTAGTTAGCTGCATCACCCACCAGTTAGTTGCATCACCCACCAATTATCTACATCACCCAGTAGTAGTTGCATCACCCACCAATTATCTACATCACCCAGTAGTAGTTGCATCATCCGCTAGTTAGCTGCATCACCCACCAGTTAGTTGCATCACACACCAATTATCTACATCACCCAGTAGTTAGTTGCATCACCCACCAGCTAGCCACATCTCTCACTTTTACTGCTGTGGCTTTTCACAAAATAAACCCTTTTAATTATTCCCATATTAAATAGAAAATTAAGTCCATTTGGTCCAAAATTATCAAAGACATTATGGGAAAAAATACACCAAAAATTTTGCCAATCAAACGATTAATTTAATGCAAACTATGAATTTAAATTTGATTTTTAGGCACTCAGTGAGTTTAAGAGTTTGTTCATCCTTGAAGGTCAATTAGCACTGTAGGTAGTCTATTGACTAAGAACCACAAGTACTCCCAAAATGAAATGTGTGAAAAAGTCAAGATCATAGCAGTATATCTACTTTTAATATTTCAGATTAAAAAATATAATTTTTACACACTTTTTTGTTTTTATCTTGTTTTGAGATTAATGTTTCACGTACTGTAGAATACTTTATTTTCGCTTGGAATTTATTTTCACTATTTATTAATAAAATCCAGCGAATATACTTTGTTTCTTATATTTCACATTCAACTCATCAAAAATCAGTGAAAATATATTCCAAACCAAAACACCCAAAAAGCTTTTTCAGTGAAAATTAATTTCAGCTGAGATAAAGTATTCTACAGTACACACAATCAATAATACCTTTTATTTTCAGACTTAACCGTGGCCAGTAAAATGACTCTGGTTCATCAAGGGGGTCCCATGACCAGAGAAGAAGCTGATGAGTTTGAGAAGAATCCTAATTTTGAGGCGATATTGAAGATGCGACATTGGGATGAATCTGCTAAAGATCCATATGTCAAAATGAACCAAATATTGGACTATGTTGAATTGTGTAAAAGGGTCTTGAAAAATAATCTGAAGTGATGTAGATGGATAATATTAAAAGTATGTTTTAATGTAATTATGTAAATTGGATAAATCTATATTGATGAAAATAGAAACACATTAAAAGTGATCTTCTATATTCCATGCAATGAGTTTAGTCTGTCTGTGTGTTTGTCTGTCTGTGTGGCTGTACAAAACTTTTGTTTCTGAAGGAGTTTCAGGCCTAATTAAAAATTGTCATCTTCTCCATGTCATAAAGATACAAAATATTTAAAAAAAAACAATAAGGGAACATTTTTTTGAGAAATGAGAGCCTGATATTTTTTTTGTTTTTTGTTTTTTCACTGGTCAATTTCTATGAGGAGCTATTTAGTTCTGAAAATGTTGCTAGATGAAAGATGATAGAAAAAGTCATATACCGATATAATAAGTTTTCCCTGTGATAATAGTTTTTCATAGCCGGAATATACAAAGGGAAATATTTCAGTAACATGCTTAATAGTGTAAAACGTATGTTAATTTGTTCAAATCAGTGTAAGTTGTTGAAATGTTGCATTGTGGGTAGAGATGAACTGTGTTTGTATACCAGGGAGCAGGTAAGCCCTGTTGGCTGTATCGCAGTCCCTCTATCCCTCTATAGAGAGACTGTGGCTGTATGAAACGATACTTGCACAGTGCTCTCAAGAAATGTGACATATTCAAATATCATTTTAAAAAGGGACTGCTCAATCCCAGGGATTGGACCAAATGCTCATGGGTAATTTAAAATCCAAAACTTACACAAAATATGTTGGCAGTCCCAAATTGACAAGGTCAAGCAAAAATCAAATTTGAAACTGACACTAATTTGCTGGGCTTATAAATTCCCCCCCCCCCCCCGCAGTTGTCAAGGTCAGTTGAAGGTTAAGTCTAAAACTGCTATTTCATTGGTTGAGCATAAAGACCTTCCCCCTCCCCAAAAAAACTCTCTATTTGACCGAGGTTCGTGTTTGAAACTTGGATTATGTACAATTGACTGGCAATAAACGACCATTGTTTAAAATTCATTTATTTATTTAGTATTTTGCTCGTAAGACCGTAATTAAAAACAATAGGAACACATAACACTATCGCGAGCGGCGCTGTTCATTACGCAAGCGCAATGTGCCAGAAACTCACATGTGTAAATCAAAATGGCGTTTCTACGGAGGTCTGCTAGGATCGCAAGATATTTGGCTGCGTCTCCTCAAAATTGTGTTCGAACAGTAATCAGACCGAACCAAAGATTATTTGTCGTTGTTGAACACAATGCCAGGCAGGCGTTCCATTCCAGGTTAGTGTTTTCATCGAGGTAATCTTGTTATCTCTACATGGTGTTTGGGTCATACATCATATATGTATGATAATATTATTACCATGAACTAATATAGATTCATCATAGCTCCATGATTATAACGGTTGATTATCATAGAGAAACTGTGATTATATCCATCGATGACTTAACGTGGCTGTTGCCTTAGAGTAAAATGAACAGTACCCGCAGTGGTAATATCAATACCGCTGCTTATTCGGGGCCAACTCTACAAGCACGTACGCCAAAGTCTACATTGTAGTATTTTGCTTTCGCCTTAGTTTTTTTATTGCCGGTATGGTGGGGTGATCACGAAACCTGATAGCCACAGTACAAGCCTATGCGAGTTACCCCACCCATAAGGACTGATATTCAGTTTCATTTTTACAAAGACAACAAATAGATATGATTTCAATACAGTAATTATTATTATCATCATATGCATATCGTCTACCACGATGTTTTGGTCAACTAACAGATCAACGAATGAAGGCATCGTTTTGGCATGAGCCGAGTGGGTCTTGACTAACGTGAACCCAACTGCTGTAATCTCTCACCAAACATGAAAGATTACTACATTAAAAACATTAATGTAGTAATTATTACTCCTCATCTGTTGATATAAATGCAATTCGCTGTCCTAACAAAAGCCTGACATGTGACAATATCGCTGTAAGAATATATGCATGTTATATACAACACGTATTACGTTGTGGTTCAGTTTAATTAACATGGACAGACAACCCCAGTCACATCCCCAGTCACATCCTATGCACTGCCAGCATATTGTAAAAAATAGACTATAGAGAACACAGGCACCTAATGATTCTGATTTGACTGTCCAATCTCTGTAAAATGAATATTGACTTGAAATACACTTCAATTCCAGCTCTAGATTAACCAACACAGAAACGGCCGTCAGTCACAGCGCCATAGACGATGACTTTGGAGACTTTATAAAAAATATTCAACATCAAGAACATGATATTTTCCATCAAGTCGTATTTTCTGAGAAGCGGTTTGGACGAGTTACCAAATTGCAAGTTACACGTATGTTTGACTCATTGTGCAAAACAGGTAAATTTGTTTTTTAACCAGTTTGCTGATAGAATTCCTATAGGCAACAGTGTTAACATTTGGTTGGTGGAGGAATGTTCATTTCAGTCGTTAACAAATATGAAATAAAAGAGTCGCTGTTATTGTGTGATGTCATGTTTAATAGGATACGTAGGGATACTTATGACATATGTAAAGCATGGTAGTCGTCGCGCTGCGCATGTGCGACATTTGTGTTGATAAAGATTGATTCTCCCACAATCAAATGCGCTCTTCAAATGAAAATCACAAGTATAAGGTTTGACCTGGGTGCTACTTGCGCTGAATATTGTCAGTGACTCCTTCGATACCTGCCAATCACCTAAAAATTACCTAATTAAAGCTTGGAAACGTCTCAGTTGGTACTTGTTGATCTGTGTAACAGTCAAAGTCGCCATCTTTGTTTATATGAGACTCGTATATCTTGCGCATGCGTGGCGTGGCTACTACCACCCTTTACTGGTGCTATACATGTATGAGACAGTAAGTTCTAACATAATCATATTCTGAACTGTAGAATCCAATTTCGAAGGCTTGTTACATATTTTGCATATGGTTTATTTACCAATTCTTTTGTTAATGGATTGTGTCTGTTGTTTCATTTATTTTGTTGCCGAATCAATCAATTTCACAATTAGCAAGATATTCTATGACATTTTTTGAAGGTTTTGCAACGGCAAGAACTGTTCAGCAACTCACAAGGTATTGTGGGAGTTTGATGGCAGAAGTACCGGCTATTGAAAGAACCAAATTAGTGCATGAAATATGGGATAAAGTAGAAGACCTAGGTATGTATGTATGTAGAGATATGAAATGAGTTAAAGAAGATGTTAATAACGTTTTTTTTAATGGTTCTTAGGGCATTAAAATATCCTGCTTCATCAGCAATACTTTGAATTTGGTTGCCTAGTTACTGCCTAGTTACTGCATCCATATTGCATCCATATTTGTAACTTCCTGTTCGGGAGATGTAAAGATATGTTTGTGATGCCGCAACAATGACAGTGTTTTGTTCATGTGATACTTCACGAAACAAGATTACTTTCCATTACCTTGACATCAATGACAACAGATTGTTGATAACACTGTTTCTTCTTTTACTGTTTGTTTATAAACACTAACTTTTGAACTGATGTTGAAAATAATTCATTACTTAGCAGGATGTTTAATTCCAATAA